TCCGCCTGGCTCTGCCTCCCGAGTGCTGGGATTAAAGGCGTGCGCCACCACCGCCCGGCAATACTGTGGATTTCTAAGAAGATCACTTAGTAATATTCATGATTCTATCTCCAGTCATTGGCAAGATGTACTATGGCAGCTCATAGCTGAGTGCTGTTCATAAGTCAAACATACAACCCAGATAACTAACTGCCCAAGCTGGGGTATAAACATCTTATAGTTAATCCTGTGGTCAATGACTGACAGATAGAGGAATAGTAAGTTCAGGACATGTAAACAAATCTGGGACAATCCTTGGTACATCACAAATGAAAACGTTCCAAGGAGTTTATTTTCTCATTCTGGAAAGTAGATCTCTGAATAGCACTCACAGAGAACATATACTTAGATACACCCTGACAATTGGCCTTTGCCAGGCACTACTGAAGCAAAGCAACCATCAGTAGGCATCACTGCAAATAGAGAAAATATTTAGTGAGTGCCTTACTCATGGATAATCAAGATTAGAAAACCAGACAGTGTAAAACTGATTATTATCACTCAGTGAAACAGTTCATACATTTATTGTATCCTAAAGTATGAAAAAATTATATACACAGGAATTTCCATCTATCTCAGAGATTTGCATTTTACATTAGTTGCTGGGGGATGACTTTGTCAAATCTCTCATTTGGGAAGTATGATGCAACAATGCTTGGTGAAGTTCCCCCAAATATTCATGATTTGCTCTTTTCTAACACAGGAGCGAAATCTGTGAAAAAATGTGTTATTTACATCCATGAAGGCAGAGGTTCTAGGGAAGGTGATGTCCTGTGGTCAGAGTAAAGCACTTGGTAATGCTTCTGCATTCTATCTCTACACCCCATACTCTGTTCCATTGTTATTGGAACAAGAGAAATCCATGGTGCCTTTAAAATCTAACATGAACAGAATATTGTTCACTCACTTGCTTCAGAGTTCTTAGTAACTATGGTGCCCATAGTACTTGACAAACCGTATTCCATCACACAACGAGAGAGAAGCTAATATCACAGAAGACAGTCTCCTTACCAGCATTCAGTTTCTTGATCCCCTTATGCGAATAATAAACTAACTTCCCTCTATAAGGGTGATAACTCCAAACACCTAGAAACTCAGAATCCCCTTTTTTTCTCTTTGCTTCTACAGGTCACATATGGAACTTTTGATTCTATGCTAAGTGACAGAGATACATTCCCATCCCTTTACCAGATGTCTCCTAAAGACACAGCTCTAACCCAAGGGGTGACCTCTCTACTGCTGCACTTTGGCTGGAAGTGGGTGGGGCTCATCGTGTCTGATGATCTGAAAGGAAAGGAGTTCCTCTCTGACCTGAAAGCAGAGATGGTATCAGAAGATATCTGTGTGGCTTTTACAGAAAAACTCCAGGCTAATTGGAAGATTCAGTTGACATCTGATGTTGGGTTGGTGAATTTGATGCAACATACACAAGCAAATGTGCATGTATTCTATGGTGATATAGATGACTTGGTATTTTTATGCATGCAAAATGAAATCATCAAAGCCATAATGAAGGTGTGGATCATGGTAAAGTCCCACTTAGTTTACTTAGAGTCTGTATTCTATGAAAAAAATTATTTGAAGGACTTTTTTGAAGGAAGCTTCTCATTTTCAAAGAAGAAAGATATCCCTGGCTTCAAGCCCTTTCTAGAGGCACTTACACCCTCCTGGTACCCAGGAGATCCTTATTTCCATAAATTCTGGATTGACAATTTTTATTGCTCACCTCCTCCTCTGCTATGTGAAAATAAAAAACCCTGCCCACTGAATACATCCCTAAAGACAAAGCAAGAAATAAATGTGATGACCACTTCTGAGCCTAGCGTTTCCATATGGAATGCAGTGTATGCAGTGGCCCACACCCTCCATAAAATGCTTTTGAGGACAACAGGAATAGGATCTCATGAAGACACAAACCATGACAGGCTTCTACCCTGGCAGGTAAGCCTATCTCAAAAGCAAGGGAAGCGCTGGGAACTTATTAGTAGTTGAGTCATTGAAGTCAAATGTACAACACATTTTCATCTTATAATAAAAATAAAAGGCACAATGGCAAGAGTTCTTTCACAGTGGGTGTGTATGTGTCTGTAATTACGGTTCATGATTTGGGCTACTGTAGCTTTGATTTCAAGACATGAAATTTGTACATATTTTAACAAATGTTTTCTTTTTATGAGATGAAATTCTGTTAAAATATCCAAAATCAATTATTGTCAAAATTAGCAAGTTCAATAATAAAAATTTACACAATTTCATGGAATATGTCTGATGCCATCAGATAGAGACATAGTCACCATATCTAACAGCAGCTATTTCACATAAAATATATATTTAACCACCCAAGACCATAGGGAGAAACTTTTATGGAAAATAAAAATAGGCTACCATAACCTCAAAAGTAACTGAGAAAGAAATTGATTTTACAGATTATTTACTCTTAAATAAGTTAAAATTAATGAGAAACCAAAGACCATGCCTCCATTATTAAATATTATAATAAAGATAGTGCTCATGAGCCTAGGCCATGTCTCCTTCTTATAGTAACAAGTGGGTATGTTTGGGCTTAAACCATCCTGCTATAAACTTAGGACTCAATTATACATATGAGCCTTGATGTTCCCCTTCAAATAGGTGATCATCAAGAAGTTTGCTGAACAAACTTTTCATTTTTATTTCATTTTAATTCAGTCTAAAGTAGATAAATAGAAAATGAACTCTGAATGTTTAGTGTACTATGCAGTTTTTAGTATTATGGATAATAATAATATTTGACATAGACATGATACAGTTTGTGAACATGGCTTCCAGAGATGTGATATTAGGTAAGTTAGTGTGTCTCTTGTACAGATAACTGAATATCTAAAAAACAGTTCTTTATGAAACGAGTTGTCAATTAGTTAACACAATAATGAATCTCAGAACATGAATCATTAACCCATTGTATTTATTTAAATACATAATAAAATCAAGCTGGAGGGATGGCTCAGCAGTTAGGGGCACTTGATGCTCTTGCAGAGGACCGGCGTTTAGCTATTAGCACCAACATGGGGACTCATTGTTGTCTGTAACTCCAGTTCTTAGTTATGTGACACCCTCTTCTGCTCTCTGTAGATATCAGGAATACAGTTTGTGAATATACATACATACATAAACATAGGCAATACACAGAATTACAAATAATACAAATCTAGGGACCAGAGAGGGCTGTGAAGTCAGATGTAACTGCTGCTCTTGACAAGATGCAGGTTCAATTCCTAGTATCTACATAGCAGCTTACAAATGTCTCCAAGTCCACTTCTACTCGATCCAGCACCCTCTTCTGGTCTTAACGGGCACCAGGAACATGTGTAGTGCACATACATATGTCCAGTAAGGAAATTCATACACAAAATAAATTAATATAAAAATTTAAGAAATCTTTTTAAAAATCTAGCTTAATCACAGAACATTTGGGTTTTAATTTTGACTCCAATATTGTTCTTATCAAAGTTGAAAGACAAAAATTGTGACCCAAACTGAATTAAGGATTGGAGGCAGGCAGTGGGTCTATTTCCAACTTCATGAAGTACAAATGGCATACAAAATTTCTGCATATTAATATATATTTTCTAGAATTTGGAATTTTGTATAACCCCCTGCTAATATTTTTAAGTTCAGATACTCTCTATATCTATGTGTATACCTATCTATCTACCTAACCATACACACATATGTTCATGGTGTGCCATAAAGAAGGTAAATATATTAACACCTATAAACCCACAGACTACTGTTGCTTCCATTTTGCTCCAGATTCACTCTGAAAACATCTATATTTTCTAATTGGAGTCATTTTTCTCTTGCTGGGGAGAGAGAGACACAGGGCCTTGTTCCCACTAAAACATGTTCCACCCTGCACTATGTTCCACCCCTTAGACAACATTTTTCTTTGTGTTCAGCTACTTCTACATTAATTTCATAGGGAGAAAAGTTCATCTCACTGGAACAAGTGGGGGAGACAATTGCTCACATGAAGCCTCTTCAAAAAGAAAGCCAGAGTAGGGAGAGAGAAAGAGGATTGCTCTTAGGGACCACAAGTGAGAGATTTGTATGCACTACTCATACCCAATTGATGTCTCTCTCCAGCTTCATCCTTTTCTGAGAAAAATTCAATTTACAAATGCTGCTGGAGACCAAATATGCTTTGATGAGAACAAGAATCATGTGGAAAAGTATGATGTACAAAATTTTATGGGACATACAAATCATTATTCATTTCTTGTTAAAGTAGGAGAGTTTGTCTCCAGGAGTCCACGAGATCAAGGCTTGTTTATCAATGAAGTTATGATCAAATGGCCAAGCAACTTCAATCAGGTCTGGCTGAATTTCAATATTTAATATGTAGACAAATATCTGCAAAGATTTATGAGAACTGATTGTGATGTCTCTTTGAAATTTTAAGTTATTTTTATAATCTAATTTCTTAGCTTCTGTTGTGAGCTTGTGTGTGAATTCTCATGCATGTCACTGCCTGTGCTCATTGAGGCCCCAGACAGCACTGGTTACCTTCCTCAGTTTTTCTCCATTATATTTTAAACATGGTCTCTCTCTCTGAACCCCATGCTTTCTGATTTAGCTGTACTCAACTGAACAGTGACACCCTGTCTCCATGAATGCCATATTGGGAATACAGGAACACAGTTCTACACCTCACTTTTTTATATTTCCCTTCTGCATGATCTAATTCAGGATCTCATGCTTATATTGCAAGTACGTTAAGTACTGAGCCATTTCCTTAGTTCTCTTTGATATCTTCAATTTAGAAATAAATCAATCTTTTGATTTTGACATATATATATATATATATATATATATATATACACACACACACACACATACATACATGTTCAGGTACATATACATATACACACAAGCACACACATATTGATGGATAATTCTGGTAGATAGAATTAGTTTAAATTGAAATCAATTTGGGTGTGTTCATTCATGCTGCAGTGAATGAATAAATCAGCATTCATGACTGTATATATGAGTGTGTGTTTCTGTGAGTATTCACATACATGTACACAATCATGTATATAAATATATACATATTTTCCTTATATATATGCATGTTGATGTTTAATTTCCCCTCAGTTTAAGACAACTCATACTCAAACATGCCCACAGGTTTTACAAACAGGAAATAAATTACCAATGTTTATGCAATTTCTCATTATAACTGATGTTTGTGAGCTGCCTGATTTGTATCCTGGGAGCTGAACTCAGGTTTCTCTGTGAGAGCAGCCTGCACTCTGAATCACTGAGCTGGTTCTCCAGGCCCATATGCCTATTAATATGTAGATATTTATGAAACAGACACTGACTTCCAAATCATGGCAAGAAGCATGTCTAAGGGAAGGACAGAAATATATCCTTGCATATACAATTTCCAAAACTATTAATATTAAAATTGTGTTAGGAATATAGTTGTTTTTTAATATAAATATATTTTTAATTTCTTTCTTCTTCTTTTTTATTATTGAGAAATTTTCTATTCAATTTATGTACCAACCACAGATCCCCCTCTCCTCCCTCCTCTTGCCCCACAGCCTTCCCTCCCATCCCACCCCCCCATTCCTGCCTCCTCCAAGGCAAGCCCTCAAATGGGGAGTCAGAAGAGCCTGGCACATTCAGTAGAGAAAGGTCCAAAGCCCTCCCCCTGCACCAAGGTTGTGTAAGGTGTCCCACCATAAGCACTGGTCTCCAAAAAGCCTGATCATGTACCAGAGATGGATCCTGACCCCACTGCCAGGGGGCCCCTTAAACAGTTCAACCTATTCAACTATCTCTCCTTTGCAGAAGGCATCGTGTGGTCCATGGGGGCTCCACAGCTATTAGTCCACAGTTCATGAGTTCCCACTAGTTTAGTTTGGTTGTCTCTGTATGTTTTCCTGTGGTGATCTTGATGCTTCTTGTTCATAGAATCCATCTTTTCTCTCATCAACTGGACTCCTAGAGCTTGGCCTGGTGCTTGGCTGTGGATCTCTGCACCTGTGTCCATCAGTTACTGGATGAAGCCCCCCCCCCAGTTTGTTCATGGAGATCTCATCTATTTCTCCTTTACGGGGTGATCCATTCATTCCTCTTTGGGTACTCCTTATTAGCTAGCTTCTTTGGAACTGTGGTTTTTAGTGTGGTTATCCTTTGATTTACATCTAGTGTCCACTTATGAGCAAGTACATACCAGGTTTGCCCTTCTGAGTCTGGGTTACCTCACTCAGGGTATTTTTTTCTAGTTATATTCATTTGCCTGCAAATTTCATGTTGTCATTGATTTTTACTGCTGAGTAGTATTCCATTGTGTATATGTGTCACCTTTTATTTATCCATTCTTCAGCTGAGGGGCATCTAGTTTTTTTCCCAGGATCTGGCTATTATAAATAATGCTGCTATGAACATAGTTGAGCACGTGTCCTTATGGTATGACTGAAATTCCTTGGGTACATGCCCAAGAGTGGTATAGCTGGGTCTTGAGATAGATTGATTCCCAATTTTCTGAGAAACCGCCATACTGATTTCCACAGTAGTTGTACAAGTTTGCATTCCCACCAACAGTAGAGGAGTATTCCCTTTGCTCCATATCCTCTCCAACATAAGCTATTATCAGTGTTTTTGATCATAGCCATTCTGATAGGTGTAAGATGGTATCTCAGAGTTGTTTTAATTTGCATTTCCCTGAATAAGGATGTTGAGCAATTTCTTAGATGTCTTTTAGCCAGTTGAGATACTTCTGTTGAGAATCCTTAGTTTAGCTCTGTAGTCCAATGTTTAATTGGATTGTTTGGTATTTTGATGTCTAGTTTCTTGAATTCTTTATATATTTTGGATATCAGACCTCTGTCAGATGTGAGTCTGGTGAAGATCTTTTCCCATTCTGTAGGCTGTTGTTTTGTTTTAATGATCTTGTCCTTTGCCCTACAAAAGCATTTCAGTTTCAGGCGGTCCTATTTATTAATTGTTGCTCTCAGTGTCTGTGCTACGGGTGTTATAATTAGGAAGTGGTTTCCCATGCCAAGGCCTTCAAGACTACTTATTGTGGGATAATGCCCTTGTACACTGGTTTAATAAAATGCTGATTGGCCAGTAGCCAGGCAGAAAGTATAGGCAGAGTGAGTAGATGAGGAGAATTCTGGGAAGAGGAAAGGTTGAGTCAGGAGTTGCCAGCCAGACACAGAGGAAGCAAGATGACAAGGCAGAACTGAGAAAAGGTACAAGCCACATGATTAAACATAAATAAGAATTATGGGTTAATTTAAGTATAAGAGCTAGTCAGTAATAAGCCTGAGCTTTTATAAGCAGTTATAATTAATATAAGCCTCTGTGTATTTACTTGGGGGACACGAGTGGGAGAGATTTGTCCCTATAGCCAGCTAGCCAGGACACAGGAAAACTTTCAACTACAACTACTTCCTACTTTTTCTTGTATCAAGTTCAGTGTAACTGGATTTGTGTTGAGGGCTTTGATCCATTTGGAATTGAGTTTTGTGCATGGTGACAGATATGGATCTATTTGCATTTTTCTACATGTTGACATCCAGTTATGCCAGCACCATTTGTTGAAGATGCTTTCTTTTTTCCATTGTACAATTGTGACTTCTTTGTCAAAAATCAGGTGTTCATAGGTACATGTGTTAATGTCAGGGTCTTCAATTTGATTGGTCTGCATGTCAGTTTTTATGCCAGCCCCAAGCTTTATTTTTTTTTAAACTATAGCTCCATAGTAAAGCTTGAGGTCATGGATAGTGATGCCTCCGGGGTTTGCTTTATTGTACAGGATTCTTTTTGCTATCCTGGGTTTTTTGTTTTTCCATATAAAGTTGAATATTGTTCTTTCAAGTCTGTGAAGAATTGTGTTGAGATTTTGATGGGTATTCCATTGAATCTGTAGATTGCTTTTGGTAAGATTGTCATTTTTACTATGTTGGTCCTGCCTATCCATGAGCATGGGAGATCTTTCCATTTTCTGATGTCTTCTTCAATTTCTTTTTTCAGAAATTTAAAGTTCTTATCATATAGGTCTTTTACTTGCTCAGTTAGAGTTACCTCAAGGTGTTTTATATTATCTTATATTATTGTAAAGGTGATGTTATCT